AGATTTTGCAAAAAAGAAAAGAAAAGAAAGCTCAACAACTTTTTAAATCTGGCAACCTTCCCAATCAGATGTGCAGAAGATTTTCTCCACAGCCAAAGTGACAACCACCCTTTCCCACAGAAGCTGGACTCCAAGCATTCCGCCACCAAGAGCTTGTCCCAAGAGGTCAAAATTTTTGCAGATAACCAGTGTAGGATGCTTCCCAACACAATGCAGACTGAATAAATTCACCCAAGCTGCTTCTAAGACCCACATTTCCGCATATGTTCTAGGAAGTGTCAGAGAGAAAGGGAAAATGGATGGGAAGATAGCAAGAATTTTGGGTGGAGATTGCAAAATTGACCCATCTGGCTCAATACTGTCTACACTGACTGGCAGAGTTTCAGGCATGGGTCTCTTCCAGCCCTACCAGGAAAAGCTGGAAGTTGAATCTGAGACCTTCTGCATGCAAGGCAGATGAAGGACAGCAAAGAAGGCAAAATATAAACATAGGAAGAGATCAACAAAGCACGTTCTGGGCGTCACGCAAGCTTAGAGGAAGAAAAGACGGAGCAGCTTGGCATTGGGAGAAAAGAAGATTAGAGGGTGCTTCTCATTCTAGCCTCAAGAAAGGTTGTGTGATTAGGCACTTTTAATCACCGGTCCTATTTATAGCCTTGTCCTTTTTGTAAAGTGCACCTTCCCCAGAATTTCATAACGTGGGACCAAAGGGCAGCAAAAAAAGCACATTCGCTGGTTGAAAGGTTAAAGCCAAACGACAAGAAGAGTAAGAAACCAATGGCTATTTTGAAACTCAATTTGCAACAGGCCACCACTGGCCTTCTAAAGGACTTTGCTCCTCTTTGATCTTGTAACAGGAAAACAGTGCATCAGAATCAGGCCTGTGAACAAGTTAATTGCAGGAAGACCCGCATCTACTGGGATATCTCTGTATGATTTCAGCAAGGATTTCCAACTCACAAATGCTTAACTGCAGCAGCTGGGTACACTTGCTATGGCCTGCAGAAGGCTAAGCCAGCTGGGGAACCCTGCCAGGGGCCTGATGGACTTATGCTGCCATGCCAAGAATGCCCCATGTCTCCCAGCCAACCAGGGACTCCTGCCCAAGCTTCAGACAAGCTCTGTACAGGCCTGGAGTGGGCACATGCGAGTAGTGGGAGGAATGGGTGTGGCAGCAAGTGCATCATAGAATTGTAGAGATGGAAGGGATCCTGAGGATCATCTAGTCCAGGCTTCCTCAACCTCGGCCCTCCAGATGTTTTGGCCTACAACTCCCATGATCCCTAGCTAGCAGGACAAATGGTCAGGAATGATGGGAATTGTAGTCTCGAAACATCTGGAGGGGCCAAGGTTGAGGAAGCCTGATCTAGTCCAAGCCCCTGAAATGAAGGAATATGAAACTGTTCCATATGGGGATCAAACCTGCAACCTTGGCGTTATCAGCACCACGCTCTAACCCACTGAGTTATCCAGGCTTAGTATAATTGGCTACTTTCTACACACATTCCTCTCTATCCTCCATCTAGGAAAGATTCTTTAGATCTCCCCCCACCCTGGTTTGAAGCAGTAGGTTTCTAGTCCTCATGGCTTCCTAAGGGAAGCTTGAAAAGGTGAAGGCAAAACATGGCAAAAAGGATAAATTCCATGGTTTTAAGCTTACAATGCATAAGAAGGTGTCATCATACTGGCCAACAAATCCAAGAGATGCTTTTGCAATTAGATGCTCCCTCCACAGCAAGCAATAATCTCTTCCTGTCACCTCACAGCTAAGCCACTCAAGAACACTGCTGGACGTTTCCATAACTGGCTGCCTAAATTTAGTTATCCAAACAC